AAAAACTGAAAACAGATGAATGAATGGAAAAGACAGCAATGGAATTTTCATCAATGAAACTTTTACAGATAACCAAATAGGATAACAGTAATATTTTGAAGAGGTGCATACAGCCTTACGCAGATTTATTACTGCTATTGAACTGTTTTAAAAAGTACTATAAAATTTACAATTGATTAAATTTATATTGTCATTTTGCGTATTTTTCAAAAAATTCTAGATGTTCTTTTTTTTTTTTTAGTAAAGTAATTCGTCGTAGATGTAAATGGTTTATCGCTGTTGTCATCGTCGTCAGATAAATAACTGCAAAAAACCATCAGTAACTGAGTAAACTTGGCTTCCTTTTTTTTTTTTACATGACCTTAATACTTAGTTTCGTTATTTCTCTGATATATTACCAATCTTTTTAGTATTTCCAGTTAGTCGATTCCATATAGTTGAATAACAATGAATAACAAAAGAAAAGGAAAAAGAACGAACAGCAAAAAAAAAATGATTCTGGAATTTACGATACAAAAAGGAAACAAAGTAAAACTGTTTGAAAATAGAATACGTGAAGAGAATAAAATAATTTGAGAAACAACATAAATTTCAATTTTTTTTTCTTTTTTTTTTTGCTTATGCTTTTGTTTTTGTTGTTTATATATTGAACATAGAACAAATAGTTAAACAACAAGTAAAGAAAGTACAACTGATAGATAGGTTAAGAGAAGTTTGAATAAGCAGTAAGAAAAATAAAATCATTGGATTATGCGTGATTGATGAGAAACTGAAAAAAATACGACAATTTTTTGGTTTCTTTTTCCTTTTTTAATTCTTTTAAAAATTAATTTTACATACTGCTCAAAGTAACTCCATCTTTAAAATACTAAAAAGAAATGCTTTTTTTTTCGCTTTATCGCTTCTGTTAATTATCAGTCTATTTGCTTCGAAGGAACTTTTTTTATTATGCTGCTTTTTTTGGCTTTTATTATTTTTTTTGTTTTAAAAAAATAATTGCTATTATTAGTTGATAAATAGTCGATCAAAACTGATTAGTCAAAGTAATCGTATCGTCAATTGTTTTTGTTGCTCGTCGTTTGATACTGCTGCCATCAACCATAACCTTATATCTATTTGTTGCCGATGGTTGTTAGGTGACCAAATGAGCGAATATCAAACTGATACAGAAGATTTGCCGCCAGACTTAGCCGCTAGAGCCTCCTTAAGAAAAGGATCTGTTTTTGCTGATCTAATAACAGTTTTTCGTCGAAGTACCTCAAGTAAATCAAAAAAATATCATGCACGAAGACCATCAAATAAAAGTCAAAAATTAGGAATTATTGAGTAAGTTTTTCAGCTGTCCTTTATTCTTTTTTTTTCCTTCTCTTTTGTCACTATGCTAAAGCATTTTTTGTAAAATGCATTGACCAAAATGTCGTTTCTTCATCACTTATATCTTACCTCTCTTCTGGCAACTGTTTATAGAATCTTAAAATCGCTGTTGGTCAAGTCATTCATTTATTAGCCTTTTTTGTAAAAAAAAAAAAAATTTTTTACTTAAACCAAACTAGTGGAATACAAATTAGGTGCAGTTGAAGTTAACACAGGTATCAGTAGCCATGTTTAAAACATTTGTTTGGAAATTAAAGAAGCAGGAAAACGACAGAACAAGAAGAAAAAAGGAATAGAAAAGGCCAACAAAAATCCTCTTTGACTGAACAGACATTTGGAAACCTGGACCAGTGTACACCCGTCGAATGGCAGAACATCGTTATGCCAATGCTTTAAGAACAAAAATTTAGAAGCTAAAAACGAAAAAAAAAATATTTTACGAAAAAAAATATACAACAACAACCTATTAATGAAAAAAAAAAACAAAATAGCTCTAGCAATTTTGATTTTTCAAAGCCAGTTTGAAGATTTTCATATCCAGTTTCATTTC